GAATAATCTCTGAAGATAGATAAACTGCTACTGACAAGAGAGGAGCCTGGAAAGGAGTCGACATTAGAGCGAACGTTAGCCATCTAAATACAGGGCATGGCTAACTAAGTAATTAATCATAATGATTTTCCTGTCTACCATTACAAAATTTTGTGTCTACTAAAAATAATATTAATAATTATTGTGTCTACTAAAAATATTAATAATTTTGTGTCTACTAAAATTATTGTAAAAGCAAAACATCTTTCAGCTCATTGTATATTATTGGTCCTGCATGAGTGATTCCATCAAATCCATTACTTCATTAGGATCAATGTTAGTATTATCAAGATTAAGGCAACTGAGCTTATAAAGTTTCGCTAGCGATTGAGCACTGGCTGAAGTGATGTCAGGATTGTCGTTAAGATACAAGTATTGAAGTGTTTCATTATATTGCAGTGCTTGTGCTAATACAAAGACTCCATCATCACTGATTGAATTATGAATAATCTGTAAACTTGTTAACGATTTGTTGGTTGATAATTCAGAAGAGAATGAGAGGATATCCTCAGGAGATAAGGATGAGTATATAGTAAGCTGTTTTATTGCTTTTCTTTCCAATATAGTTGGTATTAGGAACTGAATTATTTCAGATGGTGAAGCAATGAGCACCATTATTTCATGTTTATCCTCCAGTTTACTGATTACTTCTTTACAACTATCTAGTGAAGGATTAAAAAGGCGTACACCATTTTGAAACCACTTTACATCTTCATCTTCTTGTACTATGGAAATCAATAATAAACTTAATTTTAAGCAGTCTTCTAAAAATGACAAATTTTAAACACATTGCTTACACCCATGAGTGCAAACAAGCTTGTTTACACTTAAGCAGTGTGAATGGCAACACTTAGTGTAAGCAATCTTTTAATATTGAAAATTAATGCTAGCTTCTCATACCATATAACGGAAAATTTTGGAGGGGATTAAACTTGGCAAATTTGGTGTTTTGAATCTTGATAGCCATTCGCCAAAATAAAAATCTGCCATTTTGAGCCATTATACTCATGCTCAATGGCACGTGGCCACAAATTTGCCAAATTAAAATTTGCCAATCACCAAAATTTAGTATCTCTCCAAATTTTAGTCCCTCCAAAATTTCCTCCTATACGGTGTATTAAGCTTATTACATTTATAAATTTCATTTTTAAATTTAAATTTTAAAAATAATTTACTTGACGTGTCAGTGTCAGATGCTTCAGTTGACTCCTGTTCTGCAAGTGAATCTGTTAATAAAAAATATTATATGATGTTTTTTCTTTTATGTGCAGGCCAGGCTAATGCAAGTAATGGGACAGTGTGGCTTTGTTCATATCAAAAATTTCATTATTTATGTCATAAAAATAATTAATACTCAAAGTGATGGGAGAAATTATGTGCAGCCTTAAACTTTACATACCATTATTCTTTTTGAGTTTTAGCTTCAATTTTTCTATTTCTTGTAGTCTTTTCTCTGATAATTCCTTTAAAGATTCTAACTCTCTCTCAGCATCTGGTAAAAGTTACATATTATAGTCAATAGATGACTTTAGGTTTAAAATGAAAATCAAAAACAGTATATTTACCTTCAAGTAATTGATCTAATAACTTTC